TCCACCATTAAACTGTCATATTCTGCACATTTCTTATACTATCTACATACATAAGAGTATAATTCATATGTATAATATCAGTTAAAATAAGTGCTTCAACATAGTTAACATTGCAGGAAATCAATATATTACACGTTAAGTACTTTGTCAGGCTTAATATTTATCTGTAGATACCCCCAAAGTTTTTATCTTATTTAAAAGAGGACCTTAATCTAAAGTATTATTTAATGTTTAAATAAAGGTTAATTCGTTTTTCTGTTTTGCACATCCTCCTATTAATATATTTTTTACATCTGGCACTAAACTGTTTTATTGTAGAGATCACTTACAGTATCTTCTTGATTTTTTATATTCTATATTTCTATCACAGACCTTCTACTTTCCCCCTATGAAAGTATGTACTCTTAATATTTTTTTAATCAAATATAACACATAAAAACAATAATTCAATAACGCGCTTTAACCACTAGGCGGTGCACACAAGGTACACACAGCTATAATAACTTTGTATTATTAGTGTAGTACACTTATGTATGTACAACATCTGAAGATGTGTAGTTTTATACATGTTTTCACATAATTTTATAGCATATTGCTATACTATTTCAGACTCAGTATTTACATTCTTATATTCAAAGAAATTTACATTCTTATATTCAAAGAAAATCAAAGTCCTTTTATATCAGCTGTGCACCGTTATGGTGTAAATATAACCTATCTACGAATTAGATCAAATATAAAAGTCAGCCGAATTAAGGTTGATACTGCAAGGAGACGTATTGTTGTGAAGAGAAATTGAAGATGTTGTTTAATTGTTGATATATTTATGATCCACGTTAAGTATTCAGTTTCGGCGGCATTTCTTCCAGTTTTTCCAAAGGTCTTCTCATCAGGGCTCTATAAATAAAGAACTACGGCAGATCTGTAATATGTAATGCAGCCGGACCGTGTATTACAATGCCGTTATGTGATGACTTTCAAAGAGAAAAGCAAGAACACTCGGAATTAAGTATTCTTTTATTCTTTAAAAATGTTTTCCGGATTTCATATCATATAAACACCAAATCCCAGCATGCATTGCGGCTAAAACATCCAATCAGCGAGCTTAAACCATAGCTGAGGATCTTGGGTAATCGCTCGAAATGCCTACGTCTGTTTCCGGTTATTTTTATTTTGAAATTCAGTTCCTGAAGGACGCCAACAAAGCCCGAGATTATGGAATTAAACCAATAAATAAAAGCAAGGATAATTGTGTGTTATTGGAGAGTAAATAACAGTGTGTTATTTTGAAAAGAATAACAAATTAGAAGGAAAAAAAGATTTAAAAAATACAGATTTCAGTGTTCTGAGGCTCTGAGCCCCATTTATTTTCCTCAGAGAAGGAAACAAAAGTCCGAAATTATACGATTTAAAATAAAAGCAATAATTGTGGCTTGACATTGAGTAAGAACATGTTTTTATGAACCACACAGCTTCCGGTCTTCCACGACCCGACCGGAGAAAAAGACGTGCTGCAGGCACGAAACACATTACCAGTAGAAATACATTGCTTTTAAGATCGTGCTGTGCAACACGAAAAAAAGGGGAAAATCGTGTTGGTGAACACGAATCAATAGATTAAAAATCGTGTTGGTGAACACGAAATGCCATGAGACTGGGTTGCATGTTTGGCCCCTTTTGGGCTCTTGTTTGTGGAAAAGCAAACTGGTTCTTAAGTGATTTGCAAGTTGAACCAACTGCAAATCAAACTAGCCCCATTGGGGAACTAGAAGAAAACTAATTTCAGTGGAAAAGGGGTACGAGACCGTAGTGTGGCAAAAATAGTCCAGTATTACCCAGTGTGTTGAAAGTAACATTTCAGTAACATGGTCATTGTATTATTTCAAATGTTTTTAGACTTTTAAGGTCGGAGTGGCCTTTATGTTATGGCTCAATTCATGCATAAACAACATGAAGTACTCTTCTTTGTATAATAGAAGGCTTTTAGTTGAGTTGAGGAAATAATTAGGTCACTGGAATGGCAAACCTGGTCAATGAGGAAGGGAGCGTCTGTTTCTAAAAGCGTCCTCTAACAAGAAAGTTAAAAAGGTCTATTACATGTATATGTCACAGAAAGAGAAATGGAGAGTGGCCTTTGTTTAAGAAATGACTGTAATTTGGGTGGAAATGATGTCCCCTCCATCATAATTAAAGAATACATGTGTTCAAAAGTAGGCAAGGCAACAGTAACTAATGGGGCAAGGCTTTTTGAAACATAAAAAAAACAATTGTTTGCATTACCTTTTTAGCTTTCCTCTCCTTATATTTGGCTGAAAGAGAGCGCCCAGCCTCGACCCAAACCCTTTCCATACTGCGAATTCTTTGCTCAATCCAACGAAACTGGGATCTCTTTTCCATAGATGGATACAAATCTGTAAAATTTTCCCGTACCACTGTGTAGTCCGATCCCGCCTAGAAAAAAGAAGAAACCACAAGGCTTATTCTCTATTATTGACTTTTTTGTAGATTCAAGTTGGACAACCGAATCTGCTCAGTCAGAATGTCAGAATTCTCAATAATACACTCACATTTGTGTCAATTATATCACATCTTGATCAGCACTTAGTTACATTTGGACCATGAATGCCACTGAAAGCAGTGATTCTCAAAGTGGACTCAATGGCCTCTGTAATGAGGAAAAGTCTTCAGATGCATTGATCATGTACATTTCCATTAAATGGTTCAACACAATTAAGCTTTTATAGTTATATAATTATATAGTGCACTTTATAATCTAACGCATCTAGACCTTTAAAACCTGCAAATATAATAATACATGTGAATATGTTAGGGATAATGTGCAACGAGGCAGTCATTAATGAAAAAAGAACACCCAACAGGGTGATCATGGAGCCCGACGCGAAGTGAAAGGACCTTGATCCGCTATTTAAAAAAATGATCTGTTCCATGGCGAACCAACGGCTGGAACCACAGCAAAAATAACGTAACTTAAATTGACGGCAACAATGAACGAGGTTTTCTGTAACTGTCCAAGTCTGTTCACATTTTCATTTCAAAAATCTCCCTTATCTATGAAAGTGTAAGTGGAAATATAACCAACATGTCATATCTACAATACGGAATGTTAGACACTAAATGATAGATGTAAAACTAACATCCATGGCTTGTTTTCCATCAATTAATGAAATGTAGTATCACAACATTTTAAGTAAATATCCAGTGTCTTTGAGGTTTTTAACATCCAGAACAACAACATGTAGTATATTAATAAAAGCTGTTTGATTTTCACACTATTAGAATACTTGAGACTAAACAATACTCTTTTCGGATGATCAAGTGTCCTAGAAATAGTTTAGAGAAATGATCTAACAGTAATTTCGAGAGTATTTAATCTTGCTGTCACAGAAACACACACACACACACACACACACACACACACACACACACACACACACACACACACACACACACACACACACACACACACACACACACACACACACACACACACACACACACACACACCTTTACCTCTGCTTTTTTAGATAGAAGTACTCTGCATGGAAGTACAGGACACCAATTCTCTACCTAAACGCAGCACACACAAAAAGAGGTTATGTCAGCACCAACCATACACTTTTTCTTCTTTTTGCAATTACAAAATGTAGTGTTACTCAGTGTTAATGTGCGATATAAGAGCTTTAAACTACTTTGGTACCTCACTGAGGTAGATCAAGAAGGAGCACACAGATCCGTTGACCCCGTAACCCGCGTAGCAAGGTTGACTCTCCCACATCTGACTCAGCCACTGAAAACACAATCAACACAACATGCTTCAAGTCAAACACAACAATTAGCAATGTTGTGTATCTTCCATGTATGCCTATTTGCATCACTTCAATATGTGTGGAGAAAATGACTTGTTTTAAGTGATAATATATTGTTAGGAGTTTGTATGAAAAATATTTTGACGAGAAGAAAGAAAATCAGTTACCTTAAATTTCCCCATACAATCTGGGTGGTTATCCATAGGTGGTAGAGGGCAGTTTGTGTCCTCTTCAATTTTCTTGTCTACAAAAACACACAAAAAGCTTTGTTTTTTCAGAGATGCTCTATCGATTAAAATGTGATATTTTACATCTGTTAGTTTATTCCTTAATTTCTATCATTCCAATTGGTGATGTCATTATAGAATGTCTTCATTAAATTCAAGGCAAAGGTAAATAAGACAACCTTCAAATTTCCACCAACTGCGCACAGGAGTGGTTTAAAAAGTTCTCATTGGATGATTGCTAAAGACTGAACCTTGTAGTGTATGTGGAGCTTGCGTTCCTCTCCATTGTGCTCAATCCCCCTGAAGCTACATTGTGAAACGGTGAGCAAATTCTTCCACTTTGTTAGAGGCTACGATGCTCGTTCACATTCTTGAGTATTTATTTTTTTGTTGAATACTCTTTTTATTGTCCTTTTTTAAAAACATTCAGACATAACATACATACAACATACACCCGCACATTTGTGCAGACTAGTTAAAAATAAACTTAATACAATCATGTAGCAAGATATCTGTGTATATCTCAGCATGCATAACATACATAATTCCTTAAATAAAAGCACAAAGAGAAAATGTATACGAATACAACATTATAATAATTATAATGGCCTGAGATGTGGCCTCATTATAATGAGAAAGATCAAATAAGAGAAAATACATTATCCTTAATGCATATTGTTTTTTTAGTCAATGCTAAACAAGGTTTTTGTTCTTAACATTATTCATGCCTTTTACGTTAGAATGTATGCATGTTAAAATAAGGCATTGTGGGAATACAGTTGCCATTCTACTTTCAATAAAGAGTACATTTACCAGGTTTTAATGGTTGAACTTTCTCCACCATCTCCTCCTTCTTTTTCATTAGAGGCGGGGCTTTCTCCTTGTGTGCCAGATGCAGTCGGAGCTTATCCGCACGCAGATCCTTAATCATCTCATCTTTCAGTTTTCCTTTCTCTTTTTCAGACTCAATTTGAAATTGGAATAACTGCATTTCTGCTTTGCAGTCCTTTAAAGGAGGCGGGGGGGGGACTGAAATAGAGATAGAAGTGTTAATTTGAGAAATGATCCCTTATAATTTCAAGAGGCTAGCATCTTAAAATATCTGTGTAAGCAACCTGCTATACTTTACAAGTATTACTAGTCGAATATTCATTAAAGCCTGCATCACACTGTCCCGAAATTGACACCAGATGGACACACGATAAAGGAAATGTTCAAATTCGGCTCTGATCGTAACAACATCGGTCCATTCGTGAGGGCATCTTAAGCCATCGTATGACCGCTGGTGGAGTTTCTCAGGCTCCGGCAGCAACTTCGTGAGCGTTGGCAAAATGTTTGACATGCCAAAAAATTGCCGAAAGACCTTTCGAAGGTTCATTTTCGTGTTGAATTCGTGTGTCCATTTTGCCCTTCGTAAGGCCATCGTGAGGGCATCTTGTCAAATCGTGTCATCTTCGTCTTTCCTTCGTGTGATCATCGGTGCCATCGGGCATTTTTCCGCCTCACGAAGACAATACGAAGGAAACAAGAAGCTGCCCGATTGTCTTAGGAAGGCAACACGACTAGGTGAAGCCCTCGTAATGCCGTTGTCTAGCCATCGTATTATAGTATGATGACATCGAGATGGGACCACGGTGTCGGCGAAGACAGCCAAATTTGAGTAGCTCAAGCGTTTCCCATGTGTCATGGTAACGTGGACATATAAAAGGCCAGCCTCAGAGCATCTTCCTCAGTCAGTCCTGAGCAACTCTAAAGAGCAGAGGCGTGTATAACTCCCAAAGCTTCAATCTTTCTTGCATTTCCTCCCCTTTCTCTCTCTGGTTGGAGACTCAGTGCTGTCTTCTTGGACCTCTAAATCCTCAGTTTCCTCTGCTTTCCTCTTCTGAGTTCTGTATTCACCAGCCAGCTTCTTCCATCTGCCTCTCCCTGCCTTGGGTGGCATGTTCAAGTTGAATTAAAGTTGAATTTACTGTGTGTTCTGCTCCCAATAATCTCTGATCAGCAATTTAATTTCCCACGTGCGGCCGAAGGTTTTATACCATCGGGATGTCACATGACGCCTTTGCGACCTAGTTCGAACGCATCGTACTCTCAATACAATGTCGTGTAGCCATCGTGTGTCCTGCGGGTATAAACTACAATACAAATTCACATCTTCGTGTTGCCTTTGTGTGTGGTTCGGGTGCCATCGTGTGGCCTTCTGTAGGCATCGCACTTGCTTCGGCTGTTGCTTGGCTGTTGACCAAGTTCGGGGCCATCTTCGTGTGAAATTCACAATTCCATATCCGTGTGTCCATCTGGTGTCAATTTCGGGACAGTGTGACGCCAGCCTTAGCAAATAACAATAGGAATAGGAACATGCATTTTTGATAAAATAATTGTATGATATCAAATCAGAAGTGTGACAAAATCGTGTATTTGATTGGCAGTAAATAATCCATGAAAATAACTAAATTGACAATATCTTATCCATATGACAAGTATTGTCTTTGTATTAATGTCTCTCTGCATTGAGCAACATTGTTTTCTAAAAACCCACATGTGTGACATGATTTTCTTTTAGCCTGGTTTATACAAACAAACAATGCGCTGTTGGGCAGCCCTGCAAGATGTTTTGCGAGTTACGAGCATGTACAAATGCTTGTATGTTTAACAAGTCGTTTGTTTAAGTATCCTCCAAATCGCGAAAGGGCATACAAACTAATGATTCAGTGAAGAAGTCAATGAATCTTAACGTGATCCCCTTAATGCCGAGGACGAATTAATTCCAAGTCCTTTCGAGGATACCCTTTATACAATTCCTGTAGAGAAAGCAGTGGAGTATTAAAGTATTTAAACAACTACAATCTTATAATTAAACAAAGGATGGTTGAATATGCTGGTAACAAGTTCAATTTGACATTGTTAATATTGAAAATAAATCCATTATTATACTTTTTTATTTGAGCTATACGCTTATATGTGTAGGCTATTTGTGGCTTCTACACATTGCAGAGCCTTCGTTACGCAAAGAACCTGATGATGTCACTTTTGGCTTGCACACCTTGGCCACAGGGATACTACGGCCATCATAAGGCTTTCTGAAAAACCCTTGCACTATTATTTTTGACTGAATTATACTTAGACGGTCTTACTACTGGAAAAACACAAGAGCACCTATGTGTGCTGTGTGCGTCTAAATCCACTGCTGAAAATATTCCCTACGTTACAGCACATTGTATACATTGCCAAAGCAATGCAGTGCCAAGCTGTTAGTTCAAGTTATACATTACACATTTGTGATATGATCATTACACATTTGTATACTGATGTTTATTCCTCACAATTATATAAACTGTATTGGTATTGTAGAGTTTTGGCTTGTAAACCTGGGCATTGTGGGCATCTTAATTTGTGATCTTACCAGATTTGAACTGTTGGATTTTCTTCTCGTCCTTCTCTAATTGTAGCTTTAGGAGTTCCTCCATGTGAGCCACGTGTCGCTGTAGTTGTATTTTATCCAAATGCAATTCCTTAATCATTTCATCCTTCAGTTGTACTTTCACTTTTTCTGCCTCCATGTGAATCTGGACTGACTGTAATTCTTCTTTGTAGTCCTTCAAGGCAGGTGGGCCATGAGCTGAGAGAGAGATTGTGCTGTGAATTAGAGTAGCCATCCATCTACTTTGAACATATTTTCAAGAGGTTGCATCTGAATAGAGCTGTGAAAGACATACTTTATTATAATTACATATAGAATATTCATTAGGCAATTATCACCAAGGACCCATATTTAATTTAATTTCACTGAAGAACATGAGAGCTCTGACACAAACATGGCAGAAAAAATAAGTCTTGTATGAGAGTTTGCTCACGATTGTCAGAGGATTCTGCGATGTTCAGGAGATCATTGATGATCTTGATAATTCTCTTCATTTTTTCTAGAGGAGTACAATATTACAAAAAAGGAGATTGAAGGACAGAGTTGAACAGAAAAGTCGGGGGAAATTAAGAGATGTATGGAGCAGTCATAAGCCAGGAGGAAAAGGACAATCTGAACCCGTTTTATCTTATTGTCGCCCTCCATTGTACATCCTGCACCCTTATTATGAATTGCTCAAATATGAATATACTATTTCCTGCTACTGTGGCTAAATCACATGTCCTCAAAGTCTCCGTTCATCCTCTACAATTAAAAAGAATGAGGCATAATCATCCTTTATTCACTACTCTACATTCATTTTACCAAATGTGCTCCACTGTTTAAAGGCTATGTGAGGAAGAGTGAGTGTTGACACTCGCTGAGATCATTATCTTACACCAATAAAATCTATTTTTCTGTTTTGTTCTGCTGCTCCATCACGACCCCAGTTTTTTTTCTAAGCTTAACTCCTATCATTTACTCTTTGCTCTCTCCTCACCTTCAGGCCTGCCTGTTCCCTCCCCCACATTGCCATCCCGCCCAAGTCTGTTGATAGTGGCCACGCTGATGATGTCCTGGTCAGCATTGCTCTAAAAGAAGTTTAGAGAGAACACATTATAGGGAAATTGGTAAGAAAACGTCTAAGAATCAATTGAATATAAGATAGATGATGCCGGTACATGGGTTAGGGTTAGGGTTAGGGTTCGGACAATGATTAAACTGAAATTTGATATGTGAGGCCAATGAATGAATGAATGAATGAATGAGTAAAGATACACACCAGCATGAAATATGGCAAACTCAGGCACCAGATGAAACAAATGCCCAGTAGCAGACACATGGTCTTCCAGAGGGTGTCTGTTGATTTCCTCATGATTCAAATAGCTTCAGCCGGATGATGTAGAGTTGGATGTTTGGAGGCACGGGCCTTGTTTTCAACAAAATAATATGTTTTAGATTAAAAACAGTGTCGTAAGGACTTTTTAGTAAACTTAAAAGTAAAGTTCCTGCATTCAAAATCCTCAATCTGTAAAAGTATTATCAGTATTATTACTGTCAGTGTTTTACTTACTTAATAGTAATACTGCCCCATTGTGTTGCATTTTATTGTCGTTATCCTCATTTAAACACCTGTATATACTTATGGGTAGGTACGTTTACAGCAATTAATTATATTCTTACTGTCAGGTTTGGCAAGGTTCCGGACCCGGAGCAGTATAAATAAGAAGGCAGGTAAGGGGATGTAAATTAAAGCAAGCTTTTAATAAAATAAAAAGCTGTTGCAATACAAAAAAACAACAGGAGCAGGCAAGGGGGAACAAAAGAGAAACAAACAAACAAACAAGCCGGGACCAGAGGCCTGTACCACGAAGCCGGTTCAACATACCCTGGATATGTTTGAGTTACCCGGCCTACCTAATCCAAAACAAACGCGCTCTCGCTAAACTGTCCTACGGTGCTGGTTATCAACTCGGCAACTCAAGCCAGGGTTTCTCTGTCCGGCTGAGTGCGCATTCACATGAAAGGGGCGGGGCTAGCAACATTTGACCAATCACAAACATGGACAAGCGTACTGACAGCGCAGCGTCATACTTCCTGAATGAAAAGTGAACTATAATATTAGACAAATGTGAAGAAGTTAAACTTTAAACATCCATGACTTAAACACTTCACCCTGCAAGGTCAATACAGCTGGTAAAAGAAAAAGTGTTTGAATGCGTACATTAACAGGTTTATGATATCACTGCCCCATCTAAGACACGAGTGGATCTGACTTTAATTACATTTGAGTGTTTCGTCAACTTAATGTGTTCCTTAAAATAATACTTCTGCATACAGTAGGTAGGTGACACTGTAAGTGTTGCACGGCCAGATACGGCTCAAGAAGCTGACTCAGATAAGGAAATATATGATAAATTATGATGCATATGTGATATGAATGATAATGGGACACATCGACGTCTGCACTCACAGTGCCGCGGACTGTAAGTAATGTTACTTTGATCCGGTTACTTATATTAACTTGTGGTAGATATTTAAGTAAGCTTTCTTAACACTAATGTTATAATAGTCAGATTGTTCTGAAGATGGGAGGTGATATTCTATTAATGTTCACGTTCACACAGTCGGTGATTTTTGCCGGCCGTCTTTCCTGCAACGGCAGCTTTTCTGTATTTCCTTTCTCCTGTAATATGACTTGATAACTTTAAACTCCGCACACTGAGCTCTGATTGGTCAGCAGGCGGTGCTTTCACTGAGTTGATCTCTTATCCTGGAACCAAACCAGAGGCCTATACTATGAAGCAGGATTTTNTACAAGACATCTATCAACATGGGTTTGTACCATCCATCCATCCATCCATCCTCTGCTGGAACTGCTACCTCCGCGACCCGACCACGGATAAGCGGGAGAAGATGGATGGATGGATGGATGGTACAAACCCATGTTGATAGATGTCTTGTAATGTGCTGTTGAGGAACCTGTGACCCAAGATTTTCATTCATTGCATACACCGTAGTTTTGTATATGAAATGTCAATAACCTTTGAAAATCTTGAAAGGGATGCGCAAAATAGCCATTATACAGTCTTTAATTAACTATTAGTAGAGAATAACGAGTAATGAATATACTTTATTACTCGTTTCCATTCATGTCAATTGCAGATAAATGTTTAGTCTTCTCAAGCACCAACTATCAAATATATCTCCTGATTGTTGGCACTTGGTAATCAGGTTAACCTCTGAATTGTTGGAGTAGAATTACAAAGTAACAATGAGCTGTCATGTGGGTATATATTAATGCTGCGCATTATGGACACAAGCGATTTTCACCCATTTATTAATTCTATGTTTTACATTTGATAACACCAATGTGTTTAATACTGGCAACTTCTAATTGTGGGAAAAACGAAAACGTTCAGTAGATACATCCCATAGAACATTTTGCGAAACACAATAGCCAGCATGTCTGGGAGGGCGTTCGAGTCCAGTTTTGGATAGTCTGGTATGGTTTTGTTCCATTTCAAACAGCTCTTTGACGCTCGGCGTAACCTTGGCGCACTGCCACTCCAACATCCAATCCCAGAGCTTGAAGATTAATCACGGGGACTGTAGTCCTAAACGATAGCTGGGGATTATGGGTAGTGTAGTGTCTTCGGCCATCCTAAATTCCTAGAGGCCTACGTCTGTTTCCGGTTATTTTTATTTTGAAATTCAGTTCCTGACGGACGACCAAATAAGCCAGAGATTATGGAATTAAACCAATAAATAAAAGCAAGGATAATTGTGTGTTATTGGTGAGTAAATAACAGTGTGTTATTTTGAAAAGAATAACAAATTAGAAGGAAAAAAAGATTTAAAAAATACAGATTTCAGTATTCTGAGGCTCTGAGCCCCATTTATTTTCCTCACAGACGGAAACAAAAGTCCGAAATTATACGATTTAAAATAAAAGCAATAATTGTGGCTTGATATTGAGTAAGAACATGTTTTTATGAACCACACAGCTTCCGGTCTTCCACGACCCGACCGGAGAAAAAGACGTGCTGCAGGTACGAAACACATTACCAGTAGAAATACATTGCTTTTAAAATCGTGCTGTGCAACACGAAAAAAAGGAGAAAATCGTGTTGGTGAACACGAATCAATAGATTAAAAATCGTGTTGGTGAACACGAAATGCCATGAGACTGGGTTGAAACATGACGTCACCGTTTACGTTGCTACAATGCTAATTGTTTATATCACTCACAATTACAACAATGGCAGTCTAAGGCGGTGATGTGTTCATGTTGCTATTAAACGTACGAAGCCAGAATTGAATTGCAAGCAGGACTTTAATCTATTCTTGAGAGTGACGTGGCAAATGGTATGCCAATATGGAATAGTGCCATTGGCTAACCACTACAGTGGTGTGATGCTCGTGCTCCAACCGCTCATAACCATCGCCTAACGCCAGCTGCGACTTTAAAGTACTTATTCTCTGTATGACTGTCTATCCCTAACACCAGTAACTTCCCCTTGTGCCTATTACGCCATGAAACCCTTTTTGTTTTGCTTAATAGACAATGTTTGGCAACCCAGCACCATGAATAAAGGATTCTTAAATATAAAGACTTGAATGATGTTAGCATTATGTTAGCATGATATTAGTTTCCATTCTGACTATAAATACCAAGATTTAGAGACAAAAAACTAAATGGTCCTTGCATTATTTACCTTCTTAATCTATCACTAAGAAGGGGCATTTGTTACCACAATGATAGAAAAGGGGTTGTAAGGTGAATGATAACTCAATGTTGCAACCTGTTTAGATACAGTATATGTTTGTATTGATATTAGAATGGTATCAGATCAAACAATTATTTTGGTTTGAGTTTTGATGAATTCTGGCAACAAAAAAGTATGAAAAAAAAAGAAAGAGAGGATATTTTGTTGCATGTTGTCCATGGAATTCTAACTTTGATCTAGATTCTGGTGCATCCTGGAGTGGTGACAGCTGAATCTAAAGCTAGGATAGCAGAGGCTGCCTTCAATGGGGGCCCCCTTGGGGAACTGGTCCAGTGGAGTGACCTCATCTCCACACTTCACATCCTGGGTCACCATGTTTACCTAACTGCCTCCTTACCTGACCTCCGGCAGTGAGTGTGCACACAAAAATAGCCTTATTTTGCACTACGTTTAATAATAATGCCTCTAACAATGCTCATGTTTATCTCTCCGTCTAGTTACTTTGGGGTGGACACAGGTGGCTGCCCACATTTTCATTCAAATCCGAATCTGATCTACACAGACATTATCGGCCTTAGGCAGATCAAGAGTGTACTAAAGGGACCTTGGTTCAAATACAGGTGAGTATCAGGATCCCAGTTCCTGATTATTGTTACGTACGTGTGAGTTACATGTGCGGCACATATGTGTGTAATGTGTCTATGATAGGTAATTTTAACATTAAAATGCTGAAACACTTAGAAGGAAGGATCTTGATGACTCATGCAGGAATGACTTATACAAGTGTACTCTATGTGATTAAATACAATACTAGTTTACAATATGTTGCGAACAAACGTGGGCGTTATGGAACATTAGTCGAAAAAGTAGTCATTTACAAATAATGTTTTGGTCATTTTGTGTGCATTTGGAAGTAATTTAAAGCCAGTTCCTTTGCCCAAGTCAGACAAAGAAAGATGAGTTCAGGAGAACAATATATATAAATATTTTATTTAGTGCAGAAGTGGTCAAGTATGAGACGATTGGCGATTATCCTTGCACAGAGGCTATGGAAAGTATATCAACTCAGGAAAACTTTGGGAAAAGAGTGTTTTAAAAGACAGAGTGCGTTGGAGATAGTCGTGATACAGTAGGGGGAGGAGGGGGAGAAAGGAATTATGACAAATACTGAAGCACATTAAGGATGTGTGTATTTCCTAACTAGTTTAATTATTTCATTTGAACATTAAAATACTAGTACTCAACTTTCAATCCTGGAAAGCACTAAAATGAAGTCTCATTGAACGATGTGTGGATAGGGGCGGTTGATCACCCATATGCACATTTTAAGTCAGACTTATCTGTAGAGACAGAGATAAATGCTTTGTGCTGTTAAATATACATTTACTTTAGGATTATTGCGCTTATGAATGTAACCGTGTACCTGTGTCTGTTCTTCAGGTGCATTATACGGGTGTTGGATACTTTCGGCACTGAGCCAGACTTCAATCATATATCTTGGGCCAATAAGCACAAGCTTGCAAGTCCATTTGGCGGACTGAACATGATCCCACTGCAGTTCTACACCATGTTCCGTATGTATCTGCTTCATTTCAAACAGCTATTTTACACATGTGGCTTGAAGAACAGATATGCGTATTCTTTCTGTCTCTATCCGAATACATGTGCCTTCTCCTCCTGTGAGCAGCTCATACACCGGACAACACATTCCTGGGTTTTGTGGTGCAGAACCAGCTGATGTCGGAACAAAGTGAGCTGTTTAAGTCTAACAAAAGACAAAACCAGGCACTTGTATACGGAAAGAGAGCCGAATTTTGGGAGGTAACAATGCGCAAAAAAACTAACATTGTAATAACCTATTTTTTTTTAAAAGGCCAGAAGATATTTAAGGGAACCAACAGAGGTTGAGGAAATACACATATCTTTACTGTAGTGAAGTTATACCACAATGTAGGAATACTCGGTTATTTCAAAGTTTGGCATTGGTACATTTCACTTAAGTAAAAGTACAAAAGTATTTCCATCAAATTATACCTAAACTACCAAATCTGAAAGTTCTCATTATGCTGAATGTCAATTTTTGGAATATTATGGATTCACTGGATTATAATAGTGATCTTTTAATGTGAACATATTTTTCATTTTGCAGCTGGTTAAGGTGGAGCTTATCTTAGTGATTTATTTATTTTTTATTTTAATTTAATTTAAAGTTATTTTCTGTTTCTTAATCCATAATAGTGTATTCATTAGTCAAAGTAACGAGTAAGAAGTACAATACTTTCTTCCAATTGGTAGTGGAGTAGAAGTATGAGGAAGCATGAATTGGAGAAAAGTACAAGTACTGCTTTAATGAACTTAGTTACTTCCCACTAATGAGCACCCATATTGTTAAGATGGTGTGTATTTAGTAGTCTGTTGGCTCTGTCTTTTATTCATTCAACCCCCATCGAAAACGGGCATGTGTATTTTGTGACACACCCGCTTCTTTATCCAGCAAGTCACCCTTTGCTTTGTCTGCTGTCACACTGCAGGGTAAAACGGCATATCTGGATGTCATCCACAAGTACTTAGAGATCCATGGGACAGTTAACAACAGAAACGCTCTTCCAAATTATGTGAAAAACCATGGCATTGTGAAAGGCACTGATGTTCAGGCCCTGTTGAGACAAAGCAAGGTGAGTGTGTCTCCTCTAAATTTTTGTTGACTTTGGCTGTACTTCGTCCTCACACTGCTGAAATAACAAGGGCTGTCAACGTTAACGCATTAACACTTGTGATTGGTCTGGAAACCTTAACTTTCTGTAAAACAAATAAACAAAAATTAGTCACATAATCACGTTTTGACCGTAATTTCAGCGCTGTAGGAACATATATTGTACATAGTCCTCTCAACATGAGAGCAGCAGTAGAATAATACCATAGGAGCCTAGGCCTTGTGTTGTGCACATTATACATTACTATTATAGCGACTCAACGTGACAGCAGGTTTGACAATACTTTGCCTAATAATCGAGAAAGTATCCAAACTAAGGTGAGCTATTATAATGAAGTGAAAAAAACCATGTCATGATTTCATACATTTCTTTATTACAACCCCTAACTTGTATTTGTTTTATCTCCCCCAAAATTAAATTAAACACAAGTATTTTAAACCTGTGATGATTAACAGGAGATTATTGTGATTAATGCAATACATTTTTTGAATAGACTGACACAACTAATAAAGTTGTCTCTTTTACATTACCGTATATTATATTACATACACACTATTTAATGTCTTAATTTGACACAAAGAAGAATGAGAAGGACGCAGTTTTTCTTTTGCATTGAACATATTTTGAACTGGCAAAAGTTTTGTTTGAGTGTGGTTCTACCTTTATATATAAAGTCTATGGGTCCTACACAGCATTCGTTTGTGATGACGACCCTCCCTGTGCGGCACACTGGAGCAGAATGTATCTGTTTTTGTTCTGTGTAGGCTGGCACCGTGTGGCGACAGTAAAGCAGTGCATGTGGGACCCATATAACTGTTGGTGTGTTGGAAATAAAGTGAAGGAAATACTAATCTGTTTGTATCTGTTGTAGGTTTTTGTTGGATTGTCTTTCCCATATGAAGGCCCCGCCCCATTGGAGGCGTTAGCCAATGGCTGTGCTTTCCTGAACCCGAAGTTAAACCCTCCGCAGAGCAGTCTGAACACCAAGTTCTTCAAGGGAAAGCCCAACATCAGAGAGGTCAGCACTCATTTTAAACTGAATCACTTACCATGGTCTGACAAACAAGTTAAACACCTGTAGATTCTACGGAAGCCCTGAGAGGCAAGTGATATGGTGATTTATGTCTGTTCTTAATGGTTTTCTCAACTGTTATTATGTCTAAAGAGTAGGTGAAACATGTTCTTGCCACGGTAATCTTTCTAAGCCCCCCTTTTTCATCTGCAAAACTGGTTTGAAGAAAGTCATTTTTTTCTATGCAGCTTCTTTTTTTCTAAATGTATTACTGTGAATCTGCAATGAGAACTATTGCCATAAAGGATATTAAGTTCCTTTTTCCTTCCCCATCTTTGAAAACAGGTGAAGAAAAAGTCACATTTTGTCTGCTCATGTTGTTGTTATTGTAATGCTAACTTCTGCCACAAACTTCCAGCAATCTTATTCAACCTCAAAACAATGAACAAGCAAATAATGACCTAGCTGATTTAACAGGGAGATTAATCGGATATCCTTACTTAATAAACCATGTATGTTTTATGGTGGTATTCTATATTGTTCAGTTTCACTGTAATATGTTTGTGTTGCAGATAATATCCCAGCATCCTTATGCTGAGGCCATCGGAGAGCCCTACGTATGGACGGTGGACATGAACAACTTAACAGAAGTGGAAGGAGCTCTTAATGCTATTCTCAATCAGACGGTAGGAACCTTCTATGGTGTAAAATCTACCTATCTCTCAAAATCGACAGTGCATTTATGGAAGCTCATGTTTCTTTAATTGTTTATTACATTTCAGATTGAGCCCTATCTTCCCTATGAGTTTTCGTGTGAAGGGATGCTCCAGAGGGTCAACGTCCTGATAGAAAAGCAGGTTGGAGGAATGTTGGTTTATGAGATGGAAAATAGATCAGACTTCTGATAATTCGAGAAAGAATTTACCTTCTCATTATGTTCACATTTTTACCTCAGGATTTGTGCAGCAGTGCAGCAAGCTGGCCCCCACTGAGCGCACTCCAGGTTGTAAAGGCGCAGATGTCCTGTAAAACTGCCTGCCAGAAGGCGGGGCTGATCTGTGAACCGGCATTTTTCCCACACCTTAACAATGCAAATACTCTTGCAAAGTAAGTATTCATTTCACGTCACTTTGCATACACATGGATGCGATTTGGTTGGTATCAACTCTGTAGTCATGTGTCTTCATAGTATCGTTGGAGAGCTGTCTCCATTTTATTGGATACAGGAAAGAAAGTTCACATAAGTTTATAAAACTATAAACATATAATTTAAATTGGAAATGGTTAGAATACAAGTGTTAATGGAATAAGAAAACGATAATGCTATCATGATATGTTCAAATGTAATCTAGTTATCGCCAAGAATAAATCATTTCTTTGAATGAGAGGTTTTCACAGCAATACAGTATAACAAAAAACAGTATGAAATAAAGAAGTGTATGTTGAAGCATATCGTATTTTATTGAGGAATTTTACCGGTGGATTACAGCCAACTCAATTTCTGGTATTGTGACATCCCTGTCTCGAGTAGAGTCTTTTAGAGGTCCCCATTGGTAGGGTTTACAGAACCAAACCCATCTAAATCCAGACAACTCATACCAAAATGAACATACTTTGAATAATTTGTGGCTCACATGCTTGATCCCGTGCAAAATTGCCAGTAGCAGTATGGAGGATATTTGCATCTACTCCCACTTTGAATCCTCTGTTACCAATTAAATTGCATACTTTGAATAATTGGATTAACAGCTTTCTCTTTTTTTTCCAGGAACAGTGTAGATTGTCAAACATCCGAGTTCTCCGCCAATGGCTTGGTGTTTCCTGCCTACAACAGCACTCAGCACTGTTGGTTCCAGTCTGACCCCCTCCTCTTCAGCTGTGTCCGATCAGACGAGTCTTTGACGCGCGTCTGCCCCTGTAGAGACTTCATCAAGGACCAGATAGCTTTATGCAAAGATTGTATCTAACTTATGGTAGAAAACAGAACATGTCATTGCCTAATTAATGTCATTAAAAAGTATTTATATTGGTCTTGTCTGAATAGTGACAACTCATACTCCCTTGTGTACTTTCGGCGAGGTTTTTGTCATCCTCACAAACAAGCCAAGGTGTCATGATATCACATGTTGCCTGGATAAAGGACCACCAATGTTTCATTTGAAAGAATCAGTTGGACTACATGCCGTTTTTAATGTTTGTACACAATTATTGGGTTTGTAAAACCCGTCATGGTTGGTCTTTAACGTTTTACGGGGAACACAGATGTTATTTGTAGCCATTTGACAGCTGGCCACTAACCAGCTTAGCATTTACAAGCTTACCTCTGGCAAAGAATATAAATCACAATGGTGCAGTTTCAGATACGTTTCTGATGAAGCATTCATTTATAGTTTAGTCCACATAGTGTTCAGGCACTCCTCGACTTATACTGGGTACTTCATTTGCCAAGTAACGGGGCATTTGTCTGTAAAGCATTACATTCAGCCAATGTCTGTCTGATGGAAATAGAAGTCAAGGATTATTCACAGTCTCCTGTATCTCCAGCACACACACTGGATGCAAACAGCTTGTCATGAAGAGTGAACCAGGAGCAGGAGGAAATAGTAAACAGGAGCTTATAGAGGATATTCTTTGGTTTCGGTTTGTGCAGACAAGGCAAACAGACTTATTTAAGACAAGGATACAATAACTACTGACCTGAAACCTTACTGTACTAAGAAACAAGATTTAGGATTAGGTTAATATGACACTTATGACAGTCACCCTGTCATTGCTGACAGTGGTACCCTTATTACCGGGGCATCGCCATTGGTAATTTATGCTGCATACCTGACTTTCTTCAGAGCAGATAATCTTCAAAAAGGGGACTGCCGAATGAAAAGCAACAATCATATTGGAAAAGGCACCAAAAAGGCTCTCTTAGGAGGCCATAACATAACTATTATTTTTGCATAAAACACCAAGATGCGTTTTTTTATGTGATGTCTACGTTTTTGTTTTCTTATATTTTGTTCCCCCATTCTTGATAATAGTGATATTACAATTATTGTTTGTATATTACAATGCAGAGCAATACATTTAGCTGAGTTATCTTCCTTTCGTAACATAATTTCTCTACCTCCTGTTCAGCTTGGTAGAGAAACTCCCTCTGGAGGGAACCTTTGGATTGTAGTCTTCGCAGACCATTTAGTTGCACGAAAACCTATACAGGAAAGGGAAAACCCTAAAAGCAGAATAGAGTCCCTTTAATCCAGTTTTTATTTTGTCCTTATTGCCCTAAATGAGGAGGCTACATGCTCAGTAGGCGGAGGATTTCCTCCTCCCGCAAACTTATCAACACAATTACTTTTAGGCGAGCGACTAGTGGTTATTAATTATTAGTCCCATGTGCAGACCACCACTACCATTACAAATATATTTAATAGTTTACCCCCAAGGCTCTCTCTGTGCACGCTGACACCATCTCATCATCCAGAGCCTCCTGAGAAAACAAGACATGTAATTGGTCTATTTATTCCATTATCTTTTTTCTTCCACAATGCATAATTGTGATGCGTAACTTCCCCATTTACTCCCCCATGACAGTTGCGTGGTTGGAAAAAAAACAAGAAAAACTTTTCTGAACATTAAGCAGGATAACACTTTATTAATCAATAAAACTTTGCTCTTTGACAAAGAGATACCTCATAGTTCTTTTACATAAATAAATGGTGTTCACATCATCTGTAATACCACTGATGTCATTACTGTACAAACAGATAAATAAGAACTCTGTTAGTGAGATTTATTGGAAATTCAGTTACATTTGTCCATGTACAGTATGTTATGTTGTGTGTGTGTGTGTGTGTATGTGTGTGTGTGTGTGTGTGTGTGTGTGTGTGTGTGTGTGTGTGTGCGTGCGTGCGTGCGTGCGTGCGTGCGTGCGTCTGTGTGTGTGTACGTGTGTGTGTGTGCGTGTGTGTGGCTGGCTGCAATGCACTTGTAACCACTGAAGCTATGCCAAGCTGTAAGCAACAGAGAAGTGGTTAGTATTGCTATCATAATTTTGTGAAATGAAGTCAAAGTAATGATTTGATGTCTCTTCTTGGGGCACTAATAATAATACATCTATTCATCCATCCAATACACAGTATAATTTAATGAAACACACATCAGAAGAGAGGAACTGGTGTTTTCAATGTTTTGGCACGAGCTGCAGAAATTGGACATGTTTTTGAGCTATTTCAATGGAACAAAAAAATGGATTAGATATCATACTGCCCGGCAAATGAATATGGAGGTTATGTTTGTGCAATTTGATAGTGAGTGTGAAAGTTCAAACATGTCTTTAGGCAGATAGAACAACAATCACATTATAGATAAATGAAGAGCAACTGCAATTTTTGGTGATCGTAGAATTACAGCTATATCCAACATATATGACTATTTATTTTGGTATTCAGCTGTTGCACTGACCTGATTTAGAGTGAGTGCAACAGCTTCAAATATCACCCATTACTAAGGAGTAAGGGGCCACAATCCCAGCACCCGGCCTACATTTTAAATAGCTTGAAGAAAAAAGCATGAAAAAACAAAAAAATGCAAAGAGGTAGAGGATTTCGCTGCTAAAATCAACGCAATATAGTTATCCATATGAGCTAAAGCGCAAGTAGAGCGTAGCATTGTTAAGAGTTTGTTCTGTGCCTTGTCATGTAGTTATTTGCAAGTAAACACTGTGCTTTGCTAGTAAAAGTCGTTGTAAAGATTGTCTTTTATGCATCAGAGGGGAAACATTACAAATCAGTGTGCTGTTGGTGAGTTGAAGTAGTGCGAGAGGATTCACACCTTTCAGTTATAGCTATTCACAAAATTAAATTAAATATCATAGCAATAATGTCGCACTTTGTCCAGTGTGTCAACTGAGAGTTGATAGTTACAGCGTAGAGTGGATGTAGGCGTCGTCAGAATCACTGTCCTTGGATATGCTACTGCTCGGAATAAATGTAGACTATTTTCCTAGATAGTAATCATAACTTTTGTCATGTGGCTTTTTAACACAAGGGGGCATAGAAGCACTCTCAATCCTCATTCTGTCATGTAGACAGGGAAAATGTATTATGGGTCATGGGTAAAAAGCTCATGCAAATATGTTTGTGCTTAGCAAAGGGTCTCTGAATTAGTTAGTACATTTATTTCTATAATTTATTAATCAAAACAAATGTTGCCAATGAGTGAAATTGCTAATTTGGAGGGTTTTCTATTTATTCTGAGAGGATGACAATGGAGGTATATCTCCCAATTGTGTGACGCAATTCATAGCCTTTCAACTTTTTTAATTTTTTGAAAAAAACGTTCTGGTTGAAGTTATGACACCCATGTAGTTTAAAATTAAGAAGTAATTTATGATGCATAATTGTGTAGCGATTCATTTTCAACATGTTCAATTATGATTTGCTTGACAATCAGCTCCTATTTTGAAATTAAAGGATCCTTGGACAGCCGCCTTCATCCGCTCTGATATTTTTAATTTAAAGTGCAACATTTACAGTAAGATTTATGTAATTACACCAATAATTTACAGTAATATGTAAAACAACATTTACAATATAAGCAATATAGAGCAAAGATTCATAACTATATGCAACATTGATCATCCTGTACTTGAATTATATGCTGTCTAATCTGAAAAGCCTATTATGTAAATTACTAAGACTATATTTATGACTTCATTTTAACCGATGCACCCAAACAGTGTAATAAACATATTTACAGACCGTGTGGTTTGTATTTACATTCAGTTCATTGCACATAATGGTTGATAACAATGGTAACATGCAGAACAAATGAGTAATACACAGGTATGCAGATGCAGGATTGGAAGAAGCAGCATCTCGGAAAATGATATTCCCTCAGGCTGCTTATCTTTGTGCTTTGTTTCGTCTTAGGTCTGAGACTTTGTCTTATCCAACTTTCCACATTAAAATGTGCAGGCAAAACAACGAGAAAAAGTCAAAAGAAACATGAATAAAATATTAAGAGAAGTAATAAATATCCCAATCGGATTCAGTACAAAATTCCATAGAGAACATTATAAATCAAAAGGATTGTAGAAAATCGTACCAGAGGCTTTCTGGTAGTGCCTTTGACTATATTCATAATTTTAACGTGATGAGGTGTTAAAACCGAAACATATTACGTTTGTTTTTCCATCTTACCCATAAAGAACTCGGGATTTATGAGCACTCATCCGTTTCAGTACATTTGTAGTTATTGCATGTGTTTGTAAAAAAACAAAAAACAAAACACTATACACTATATGGCAATGGAACATATGTAAAGTCAGTTACAGCAGGTAAGACAAAACTGACTAAATACCCCCAAATCATTTTTTAATACGTTATCGCCCATTGTGCTAAACCTGGCACTGTGCTGAAATGTGCTTGGATACATTACACACAGTATAGTAGCCATCAATGTTTATCCTTAGTGTCTTATGTGCTTCTGTTTAATTTTAGTTGAGTTCCTAGATCGAGGCTGACCTCAATGTGTTTGCTGATGCCTTTGAGCAGCAGTGTTCGCTGACACAGGACTGCACATGTGCTATTCTACTTTCCCTCTCTTCCTCTTTCAGCAACAAATTAGGATCCAAGGTTGCTGCTTTGAAGAGAGGAGGCTGCTGGGGCTTTGAAACAATTTGTGTCTGATTAAGGACAGAGTCACCTGTACTTAATAATAATTACAAATAAAAATAGGAAATCTTAAATTGGTGAGCAGACCTCGACTTGGAGTTTGTCTCTTCCAAATCTCATTATACATTTTCAAAAAATATGACGTGGGAGAACATTTCTGTTTGTTAAATGTTGACCATTTAGTCATTTAGACTGAATATATCCACTATGACGAATCAATACACTGTAGTCTTGATTGTGTATATGTCATTTGAGCAATTAGTGTTATCTCCATGTCAGACAAATACTGCTAAAAGGCAGGAATCTCAGGTCTTGTGGCTTTCCTTATTCTAGGGGCCTTTTTTAAACTGGTTTTAAGGACAGAAAGTGACAAAGGGCAGAACATAAGTATTTAGGTGTTTTCTCTCCAGGATTTGGTCTTCAAACAAGTCCTTCTCTGTCAAAGATTATCAGATGTCTGCCTTTGTGTGTGCATTAATGTGTGTTTCTTGATGTCTGAATGCACTATGTACAGTATTCACAGCGTGTGTTGTGCTGCATGTTCAGGTAAAATGTGTAGGAACGTGTGTAATAAAGACAGAGAGAAGAGGGCGGGGAAGTGTATGTATTTGAACCTGCAAAACACACATTCACTCAAAGCGCTCGTAGTTCCTCGTTTGCCTCACGCGGGGCACCATGTCCACCAGGAGTCTGTGGGCAAAGAAACAAGGTCTCATTGTATGTAAATGTGCATAAATACATTCTCCAAGGTGGTGCAGATCCTGCTGATTTAGCACTCAGCATGAATGACAAAATATGGATAGGCCTAATAATATATTATTATTATTTTTAGCTTACTTGATGCCATAGGCCATAATGATGAGTCCAATGAGAACTCCGAGGGTGCCATCCAAAAACCAGACGTCAACGTGGTCCTTGTAGACTTCAGCGCTGATCAGAATGGAAAATCCCATGATAGAACCAACAATAGAGTTAAACCCTGAAAAAAACACAGAGGTGTGGAAAATGTAATCTAGAAGTACTGAATCAGAAGAAGGCCGGATAATAAGTTCCCAAACATATAAAGAAACAACATTTTACTTGGAAAAACAAAACACAAATGCTTTCACAATGAGAAATGCGTCCTTAATAATGTTGAAAGGTTGCATTTGGACTTAGAATAAATGCCTTTTAAATTATAATGAAACAACTTGTTTAAAAAAGGAAATATGTACAGTATAATAAAGTACATTATAATATGTTACATTGTCAATTGCTATTGGAAAAGACACCATTCAAAGTCAGCTCTGCATACCCGTCCTAACAATCGAGAGAAAAATAGTTCAATGATGTCACAGGGAGTCTAAATGAGAACACGTGAAATAGTAAAATACAATTGTATTTTCTGTTAAGTCCTCATCCTGCTGCATGGTCTGTGTTCTAGGGAATTCCTGTATACATTAACTTTAAAAGCAGACCAAGCCTACTAAATAATAATTGAATGCCTCTTTGATCACAAAGAAATATATGTATGGTGTTTCTATGAAAATAATCCAATAAACAGAAGAAAGTCTGCAAACGTTAGGTTATCATAAGTCAAACATATACTCTTGAGTGAATTAATTGCACTAAGATCTGCCCTGATTCAGGTCACCTTGTGGAAATGTGTTCAGAATACTGAAAATGTCCATCAAACAGGAAAGTTTCGTCAGCAAAGAAGTCTCAAAGGGACTAAAGACCTATGGCTCATAATATCTGATTAAATTAGGTCTGCATTACGTTAAAGGTTAAGCTTTAAAGGAAGGACTAGAAGACTAATTTCGGTCCGTTTATGAATTGTTTGTCTGAGTAATGAAGTAGTCTAAGTAGTGGTAGTTTCAGTTTCAAATATGCTTCACTAATCCTGATTATGACCAATTTAAGAATTTAGGTGAGAAAGTGGTAAATATATTTCAACGAACATCTCTTTATCTGAGGGCACAATCTTGTGGTTATGAAGGAAAAGTCTGACGTTTTGAATGTGGAACTTATTTGGAGTTAGATGAGAATATTCATGCTGCTCTAGTGACTGCACAGTAGAAATGAAGCTACAGCAAGCAGCCGGTTAGCTTGGCATAAAGACTGGAAACAGTGGGAAACAGCCCACCAGAACCTTTAAAGGTCCCCTATTATACTGTTTTTCATCAATATATTATAGGTCTCAGATATATACAAAACATTTCTCTGAAGTGTTTGGCTACAAATACCAAACAGATCATTGTAGCATCCCATAATCCCCCCTGTTTCAGCCCTGTTTCAAAAGTGCTGATTCTCTGTCTGTTACTTTAGATGAAAATAAGGAGCCACTCCCCACGCCCCTCTGAGAGATATTTGGTTACAAAGAACTCAATGGTGCTCTAGGACGAGATTCAGGTGATAAGGTGGGGGGGCTAATGGTTACACAAGCCAAAAAATCGTTATGACATCATAAAGTGGCCAAAATCTGATCAGCTCATTTTCAGACAGGTTTTTATATAAATGGATCAGAACAAAAAGTGAGCGAATCTTTTTTCCTGAAACATTCAGAATCTCTTTACACAGACGGGACACATGTTGATGTAAAAAATATATGAGAAAGTGGATTTTGCATAATAGATGACCTTTAACATGTTGTTTCTCAATTGGTTGAACTTTACAACAGTGCAAGTGTAAGGGTTAGGGTTGGGGTCAGGGTTAGGGTTAGGGGTAAGAAGATCAATTGTAGTTTTACAGAGGGTTAAATCTTGGATCTTATTTGTCAGCCATTGTCCCTCTGGAGTTCCATCGTCATCGTGAGATTGCCTGTCATACAACTTTTAAGGTGCTAAAAGGCTAATTTATTCTTAAATCCTTTGCATAGAACCTGACTAGCTATTTCCCCCCCATTTACCACACAAATACGAAAGTTGTATTAGAACATTCATGAAACTCTATCAAGACCAATTGTACTTTTCCATACAAGAACTTTCCTGGCTATATCATTCTAGAATACGTTTACTGTATTTGAGTTACCCCAAATAGGGGCTTATGCATTTTTTATAATTACATTTCTCCTTGTGTGAAAGCTACTGCAGTAGGTTATTATCTCGCCCACAGTAAGTGTATGGTCTTGTGGGAAATAAATCCAGTCTCTGAAATCAGCAACCTAAGGTTTATTGGATTGATGCCCTGTGCTTTCTGAGATCTGGGAATAGCAGTGTGTGTACGCTGTGCTTTTGTTCATGTGCACGTGTCTAGCAGCCAGATGGTCATGACCTCTTCTTTCAATCAAGTTATTATAAGAACAACTTTCTCTGTAACAGAAAAATACACGCAAAATCTGTTTTGTGGTTTTGGCGTTAGGTTCAAATAAACCCTGGCTCTTTACACATAGATCAGGACTAGGGAACAGTCTTTTGATGTTAATCTACTTTATAAATCTGCCACACTACATTTCAAAGAATTAGTTCTGGACCGACTTAAATTCTAGAATGCAGGCTCGAAAATGACATTCACGGAACAAATGACTATAACTTAACTTCTAAAAGGGGTAAATTAATAATCTTTTTTCTCAAAGCAATGATAAACCTGTGAGCTGGATGTAGAACAGTCAGAATCAATATAGATATGTTTTATTTTAAAGTAAAGTCAGATTGAACATAGTGAAAACATTTAAATTATAGTGTCCGTCCAAAGAAAACCCATTACTTATAGTGAAAACCACCCTTGAATGATGGGATAGTAAACTAAAAGCTTTATCCAAACTATGACATATACTAAGTACCCTGTATCAAGATTGATGCAAAACAAGTTAAATTTGACCTTTTTAGAGAGATTTAGAAAAAGAAACCCACTTCTAGGGTCATTTGGGTGCATTTTCCATATCTCTGACCCATCTGTCGATTTTGATGATTGACATCTGTTTTTAACCGTTAGAGCCAATAGAATCGAGGGGAAGTTCCTAAAATCCATCTAAACATTACCCATTGGTGAATGAGTGATGCGTAGCTAGAAGGCCCAAAACCGGAAGCTGTCATACACTCTTGTTGCAGCTAATATTAAATCTCCGTTATTGACATAAATATGATGATGAATTATCAGTAATCGTTTCAAAGTGACACAGACACATTGGATTAACCTTCAGCAGCGTTTTTATCGTTGTAATGCCATTGAACACAACTTTTGATCAGAAACAGCAAAAGGTAAGACATATTTCCCGATTTTGCTCCGTAAAGCTCCGTTGTGTGATGTCTGGGTTCGCTTCCACTGCCGCAAGTTTTGATCGCTCAGTGATGATACTTATACCCCTAGAATCTGTGGAATCTCAGCTTGCTAGTTAAATCTTGTTTGTGCAGATCCGATAAGTATAAGTATGTCTACCGTGAGTTCTGTGCTAAGTGCGTTAGCATTTTTCTCTCAGGGCTCATTTAGACGCTTCTTGTGAGACTTGTGTTTTGTTTCGGTGAAAATGGTTCGTATCGTCAGTTAGCTGAGTTTCTTCCCGTTAAGTGGGTATGACACATTAATAGGTTTTTAAATGTTAAGAAGCCCTGAGACATAGTTTCGTGAAAAGAAAACCTGCAGCCCCCTAAGAGATAATTAAATATTAACCCTAAACAAAGCAAATGTTTGTGTTTCCTTTATATCACATGTGTCAAACTCAAGGCCCGGGGGCCAAATCAGGCCCGTGATTGATTTAATTTCGGCCCACAGGATAATTTGTAATTACTATTAGATCTGGCCCGCCGGTATATTGCACGCACACCTTCACTCAATCCTGAGGATTTCCTCAGCTCAGAGCCTGACCCCAAACATTGATGAACTTGCACCCAAGATGAGATGCCAAATATCTGGCTTGAGCTAGCATCACAGAGCAGCAAACTGAGTTTTGCACTTTTTTTCTTACGACAACACGGCATGTTTGTTTTTTTTAAGCTGTTGTTGGCCTGTGGAAAAGTGTAATCATAAGAAATGACTCCGGAAAAGCTGCAGATAGTCATAAGAAATGAATGCAACTGATTATTTAATGTTCAATGTTGGCAATAATTCAAGCTTTGTTAGTTCCAGGTTTAATATGTGCAATAAGTTAATTTCAACAAGTTTTGCATTAAACATTGAACCTCGACTAGTAACCATTTTTTTATTTTGGCCCACTGTGTATTTGAGTTTGACACCCCTGCTTTATATGATACAATATGATAATAATGTATTATCAAATCAAGTCTGAAATGTAACTTGAATCACAGCAGCTCCATTTGCAACATCAAACAAGGACAAATATTAAGACATGATAGAAGGGAACACACATTTACCATAAAGGCCGCTACACACCAACCCGATTTTGGGAGTCAGAGGCAGTCGGGCATTCGCGGCCCCCTACTCAGGTTGGTGTGTCCCGCACCGTTCTCTCTTTACAGGACATTTTCACACTTCCCGCGGCCGATTCAACATGTTGAATCGGCCGCGGGAGGCCAAAGAAAGTCGGGACAAAGAAATCACTCTGATTGGCTGTTCAGCTTAGCGAGTCAGTGCATGAGAAGCGAAGCGGAAGTGAGGAACCAAAACAAACTATTAAGAAGGCACACACAGACGGTTCATCTTTTTCATTTTCCTCTCACCTGGACGCAAGAGTTTATTTTTTATGTTTACATGTTTTCGATCGACGAGAGAGAGTGAAAAGGGAACCCAGACGCTATTTGTTGTTTGTTTATATCACGCAGTCTGTTCTTCTTCTCTCGGTGTAAAGTCTGTCTTCCGGTTGTTGCGTCTTTTGAATGACGAATACACACTACCGCTGCCTGCTGGTAAGGACAGTTATTGCCACTCGTCAACTGAAGTCTTTGCGGTGTACGTTCGTAGGTGGGCGGTGTAGCCGACGCAGGCAACGTAGTGGACGTAAAAGTCGGGACGCCTTCGGTTCTTTGGTCTCAGGTTGGTGTGTGGCGGCCTTAACACTGGGATCACTGAGAGAAACATGCTCAAGACCCTCTAACGTACATTAGATCTGGGATTTAACTCAAAGGAGTGCTTCAGTTTGACTTTATTGGTATTATTTAGGGCCGGGACTTTAACGCGTTAATTAAGATTAATTAATTCCACAAAAATTAACGCGTTAAAAAAATTAACGCATTTTAATCGCACTTATTTTTGCACCGCGGAACGTTTCTCACTGGATGAGTTTCAGGGGTACCGATTATACTGGAGCACCAACTAACGTTCATGACTTCAGACAACAACAAACCACAGTGAACAATAGTCCGTGAANTGTACAGCAAACCAAAGCACAAGAGCGGCGCTCAAAAGAGAAAGGACAAGAGAGAACAAGGAGATGTGACAGCTAAACTGACGAAATTCTTAATTATGTGAGTTGGATGTAGAAAAGTCAGAATTAATATAGATGTTTTTACTTTAAAGTAAATTCAGATTGAACATAGAAAAATTTTAAATTATAGTGTCCGTCCAAAGAAAACCCATTACTTATAGTGAAAACCACCCTTGAATGATGGGATAGTAGACTAAAAGTTTTAGGAATCCAAACTATAACATATAATAAGTACCCTGTATCAAGATTGATGCAAAACAAGTGACATTTGACCTTTTTAGAGAGGTTTAGCAAAAAAACAACCACTTCTGGGGTCATTTGGGTGGATTTGCCAAATCTCTGGCCCACCTCGATCGATGTTGATGATTAACACCTCTTTTGAATCGTTACAGCCAATGGAATCGAAGGGGGAGTTCCTAAATCCACCTACACGTTACCATTGTGGAATGAGAGGGATGCGCACGCAGCTTGCCCAAACCGAAAGCTATGTTACGCTCTGAAAACTGAAAACCGAAAACTAGGTTATAGCCATAAATATGATGATGGATTATCAGTAATCATTTTAAAGGGACACAGAGACATTGGATTCAACTTCAGCAGCGTTTTTTTAAATCATTTTAATGCCATTGAACACAACGTTTGATCAGAAAAACAGCAAAGGTAAGACATATTTGCCGTTTTGGCTCCGTAAAGCTACGTGGTGTGTTGTCTGGGTTTGCCTATACTGGCCTGAGTTTTGGTTGCACAGTGATGATACTTATACCTCTAGAATCTGTGGAATATCAACTTTCATTTGATATCTTGTTTGTGCAGATCTGATAAGTAATAAAGTATTTTTATCGTGAGTTCTGTGCGTTAGCATTTTTTCGCTCAGGGCTAATTCAGAGGCTCGAGAGAAAAGCCTGCAGCCGGGTTTAACAGGTTAACAAGTCTATGCAAAAAAAGTAAAAACCAATAATAATTTAAAAACATTATGGCATTCTAATCTTTTATTTTGATGACTTCATCAAATAATGATCGGTTAAAAAAATAACCCCAATTAACCAGCAAATGTCGAGATTTGTATCATTAATCGATTAGAACAACGACGATCTTGTCTGCATTGCAGTACTTTAGGTTCCTAGCTATGCTGTTAGAGTGGGATGTCCAACGAGGGAATCCTCTCAAACTAATCCAGATACATTAAGATTAATCCCAGGGTCAGGCGTGGACCCCATCCAGTGAGAGGTGTAAAATGTTTTGGGTTCAATATGAAAGTGTGGAAAAACCCTAAGTCAGAAGAAACGTTCTACCTTCGGCCCTGCTTTTTGCACCAAGTTAGTGAATAACCAAGGTTGAGTTGTGACGTTTTTCTCTACGGTTGAAAGATCTAATGGAGTTACTAGATTTAATCGACAGCTCTTTTGAATACTTTTCATTGGTTAAGTATTGTGAAAACCAACAAAGACTCAAAAAGGGTAACCAATGGCATTGATTTATGACAATGATGGCGTTACAAAGTTACAGACAGCGACATTTTGTACTTTTACATTGAAATATTTCTAGTTTTTCGTAAGTAAGCAGTATGATACAAAATATATTTTGCCACTCTTACGCATGTTTTTGTCTCGCTCAATAGATAGGATTATTCAACTCTATCCCCTGTTAACTTCCCCACTTCCGTAAATGCAAAGTACATTTTTAAGGATTTTTTTTTCTCCATGAAAACAAATATTGCCACAGCAGGAAAGTCTGTTTTGTAACTGTTCTGGTTGAACTACTTCTCATTAGCAGAAGAGAGACACAGACATTGATCCTCAACACTAAAGGCTAAATAAATCACCAATGAGAGATGTAACACCAGAGTTTTCATTGGCATTTATTGAGTAAAATTCTATTTCCTTTGCCAATTTTACACGCTTTGTTAAGACCTCTTAAATTGGGGAACTTTTCATTTATTTATGTGTGTGTGCGGTTGCTTGTGTACCCTACCGTCAGTGATGAGTGCCCGGCTAGTCAGCACCCTTCCCAGCATGAACTTGGCCACAGCTAGCACAGCACATGTGATTCCGCTCACTATAGACACACTGTAGAGGAAGTCGTCCTGTGGAAAGACAGGAGAGAGAACATGGAACATTATTTGAATGATTAATTTCTGGTAAACCGTGTGTGTGGAAACAAACAGAGAGAAAGCTACAAACTGTCTGTAGAGCAAACAGTCAAAAGCACCAACAACATCAGTCAGAAAGAACCAACCACCAAGCTTTCCTCAGCTCACAACCATAAATAATATATATACAGGCTTGACTTGGTGCATCAAGCCAAGGTCATTCAGATGGCGCCTCTAAGTGATGTGAGGCTCTGGTGTTTTTAAGTTTCAGCAAAAAAACAGCACTTGACCCCAACATGTCTCTCTAACAGATTTCACAGGGCCAACAGGGGGTACTGATACCAGAGCTCTCAAGTCTCACACATTTGGCGTGAGACACACGCATTTCACTCTATTCACACGCTCACACGCCACACCTTGTATTTCTCACGCAGATTTCTTTCCAGGGTACCGCCCACCAAGTTGAGCAGCAATTTTGTAAACAAACTAGTACAGAATAACTGTAGCCACGCATCAACCAATCAAAAGAATGTAAGCTGTCGAACAGCCAATTAGAAAATAACATGGCTGTATCCGGGTAGGATTTAGACATTCCGCTACAACATTACATTCTGATTCCATTCCAATGATTAAGACACTCGCTGAAGAGTAACCAAAGACAGGTTATATGCAGAAATCCTGAGGTCAAATTTAATACCTTTTAAGACCTTTTTTAAGACCCTTTCCATACATTTTAAGACCTCATCGCAACT